AATCTATCTGTTGTTGAATGTAGGGTATTAAAGTCCCCTACTATTATTGTATTGCTATCTATTTTTCCCTTTATGTCTGTTAATATTTGCTTTATATGTGTAGGTTAATATGTTATATCATCTTATTGTTATATGTTATATCATGTTGAATTGAACCCTTTATCATTATCTAATGCTCTTCTTTGTCTCTTATTACAGTCTTTGTTTTAAAGTCTATCTTGTCTGATATAAGTATAGCTACCCCAGCTTTCTTTTGGTTTCCATTTGCATGAAGTATCTTTTTCCATACTTGCACTTTCCATCTGTGTCCTTACATCTGAAGTGAGTCTCTTGTAGGCAGCATATAATAAATGGTCTTCTTCTTTTTTGTTGTTGTTGTTATTTTTTATTTAATTATTTTTTTTGTGAGGAAGATCAGCCCTGAGCTAACATCTATGCCAATCCTCCTCTTTTTTTGCTGAGGAAGGCTGGCCCTGAGCTAACATCCATGTCGATCTTCCTCCACTTTATGTGGGACACCGCCACAGCATGGCCTGACAAGCGGTGCATCGGCACGCACCCGGGAACCGAACCCAGGCTGCCAACAGCAGAGCACGTGCACTTAACTGCTAGGCCACGGGGCTGGCCCCCTGGTCTTGTTCTTTTATCCATTCAGGCATTCTATGTCTTTTGATTGGAAAATTTAGTCCATTTACATTTAAAGTAATTATTAATAGGTATGTACTTATTGCCATTTTGTTTGTTTTCTGGCTGTTTTAGAGTTCCTTTCTGTTCCTTTCTTCTTCTCTTGTTCTCTTCCTGTGTGGTTTGATGACTTTCTTTAGTGGTATGCTTAGATTCCTTTCTCATTATCTTTTGTGTATCTACTATAGGTTTTGCTTTGTTGTTACCATGAGGCTTACATATAACACATTATATTTATAACTTAAGTTTGAATACATTCTAAAACTCCACATTTTTACTCTCCCCCGATATTTTATATTTTTGATGTCACATTTTACATCTTTTTATCTTGTCTGTCACTTAACTAATTATTGTAGTTAGTTGTTTTTACTAAATGTCTTTAAACCTTCACACTAGCTTTATAAGTGATTAATCCACTACCTTTATTATATATTTACCAGTGAGATTGATATGTTAATATGGTTTCTTATTACTAATTAGCACATTTTCTTTTCAGCTTAAAGAAGTCCCTTTCACATTTCTTGTAAGGCTGGTTTAGTGGTGATGAAATCCTTTAGATTTTGCTTTTCTAGAAAACTCTTAATCTCACCTTCAATTATGAATGATAACTTTGCCAGGTATAGTATTCTTGGTTGGAAGTTTTTTCTTTCAGCACTTTGAGTTTATCCTGCCACTTTCTTCTGGCCTGCAAATTTTCTGCTGAAAAATCTACTGATAATCTCATGGGGATCCCCTTGTATGTAATAAGTTGTTTTTCTCTTGCTGCTTTTACGATTCTCACTTTGTCTTTAACTTTTGATAGTTTAATTATAATGTGTCTTGGTGTGGGTCTCTTTGAGTTCTTATTTGGAACTCTTTGGGATTCCTGGAACTGGATGTGTTTCCTTTCCCAGGTTAGGGAAGTTTTCAGTCATTATTTCTTCAAATTAATTTTCTGCCCCTTTCTCTCTTCTCCTTCTAGGACCCCTATAATGTGAATATTAGTGCACTTGACATTGTCCTATAAATCCCTTAAGCTATCTTCATTTTTTAAATTCTTTTTCTTTTTACTGCTCTGATTGGGTGAGTTCCACTGCCCTGTCTTCAAGTTCACTGACTCTTTCTTTGATTTAGCTAGTCTTCCATTGAACCCCTCTAGTGTATTTTTCAGTTCAGTTATTGTATTCTTTACCTCTATGACTTCTATTTGATACTTTCTATCTCTTTGTTGAAGTTTTCACTGTGTTCATCCATGTTTCTCCTGAGTTTGGTGAACATCTTTATGACCATACTTTGAACTCTTTATCAGGTATATTACTTGTCTCTGTTTCATTAAGGTTTTCTTCTGAGGTTTTATCTTGTTCTTTCATTCGAAACGTATTGCTCTGTTTACTCATTTTGCTTGATTCTCTGTGTTGGTTTCTATGCATTAGGTAAAACAGTCACTTCTCTCAGTCTTGAAGGAGTAGCCTCAAGTAGAAGATGAAATTTATGGTTCAACCCTGCCCTAGTTCTTGGTTGTTTCTCAAATCTTTGTGATTGTCCAAGCAGCCTGTTTTATTTTTAATAGCTGCCAGTAGTTGAGGGTGTGCAAAGACCAGTCGGTGTCCCAAAGGGGAGGATCTCAGTCAGCACCTAGATTCAGGCTGATTGGAAGCCAGACCCTCAAGCAGCAGCTTTTAAAGTATACAAATATATACAGTCCTGTGGGACCACAAGTATAAGCCCTGCTGGCCACCAGTGCCAGTCGATCTAGAGGTGTCCCCTGGGAGATGATTGCAAAAATCAGAGCTCCAGATGAGTGTATAAGCTCCTTTCTGGGAGATACCAGTGAGCTATAGCAAGGCAGAGGGAGAGCACAAAGATGGTGTCCCTTGGCCTATGTTCCTTGAGAACATCTCTGTAGGCCTCTCGATGTGTGCCAAACCTGAAGCCTCCCCCTCAGGCTGAAGCTACAGGACAAGCAAATCAGCCTCTTTCACAGAAAGACTGGGGGTGTGTTTCAGTCTGTCATCTCTGTAGTGCCCTGGGGGTGGTAGCCTGCCAAGAACTATCTCTCTGATTGTCACAGTCCTGTGGGACCCAGGAATACAAGCCCCTGGCCACCAGAGTCAGGCAATCTGGGGGCATACCCTTGGCAGCAGCCACAAAAACCAGGGCACTAGACATGTATAAAAGCTCCACTCGGGGAGATACTGGTACTCTGAAGTGCAGCTGAGGGACAGCATGAAGCCGATGTTGCAAGGTAAAGATGGCATTTGCCCAGGAGAAAAAAAAAAAGATGGTGACTCGGGCTAAATTTAGCAAGGCAGAGGGAGAGTGTGAAAATGGCACCTGCCAGCCTCCGTCCCTGGAGAGTATCCCAGCAGGTGCCTGCCCCTCCAGCGATGCTTTAACATTAGCAAATGAATCTCTTTCACATAATGTCTGGGTGCTTTTCAAATGGCTTCTTTTGCACTGGGCACTGGGGCAAGTGAATCGGCTCCCTTTAGAAGCCATTTCTCTGTTCGCTACAGCCCTTTGGGTCTCAGGGATGCAAGCCCTGTTGGTTTTCAAAGCCAGTGGTTTGGGGGCTCATCTATCAGGTGCAGGTCTCAAAAGTTGGGGTACCCAAGTTGGGTACAAACACTTTGCTCCAGGTTTCTGAATTCCCTCCTGATTGTGGGTCACCACGCTAGGTGTGGAGTTTATGGTGAGATTATGTCTCAGCCTCTCCCACTGCTTCAATGTGGCCTTTTTCTCATTTGCCCAGTTTGAAGGAGTTCCTCAGCTAGTTTTCAGGTCTTTTTCAGAGGAAATTGTTCCATATGTAGCTGTAGATTTGGTGTGTCCACGGGAGGAAGTGAGTTCAGGATCTTTCTATGTCACCATGTTGAACTGCCTCCTAGAGGTAAAACCAGATGTAAAACCAGGGCACCAGTCACATGTAAAAGCTCCCCTCGGGGACACTGGCGCTCTGGAGCGTGGTAGAGGGACAGTGTGAAGATGGCGCCAACCAGCTAGAACGAGGCAGAGGGACAGCATAGAGATGGCACCTGCTGTGAAAGAAAAAAGAAAAAAAAAAGCCTAGAGAAAAAAAAATGGCACCCACTGCCTGGAGCAAGTCAAGAACGAGCCCAAAGATGGCACCTTCCAGTCTCTGTGCCCAGGAAGCTCACCCCAGCAGGCTGCCGAATGTGTGTCAACCAGATACCTGCCCCTCAGGCCAGTGCTCCAACACAAGCAAATGAACCTTTCCCACACAAAGTTCGAGCATCCCTTGATCAGCTGCTTCCACACTGGGCCCTGGGGTGGGTGAGTCTGTGCGTGCAAGCCCTTGAAGAGCTGTTTCTAAGATCACTAGAGCCTTGTGGGTCTCGTGGTTGTGAGCCTCATTGGTTTTCAAAGCTAAATGTTTTGGAAGCTCATCTCTCAGGCACAGGTCTTAAAAGCTGGGGATACCTGATCTAGGGTTCAAACCCTTCACTCCTCAGGGAGAAGCTTTGGGTTTTGAGTTCCCTCCCGACTGTGGCTCGCTGTGCTGGGGGTAGGGTTTAAGGGCAGATTGTGTCCCAGCCTCTCCTGCTCACTCCAGTGTGGGCCTTCTCTTGTTCACCTAACATGTAGTCGTTGCTCAGCCAGTTTTTAGTTTCTTTTTTTCAGAGGAAGTTGTTCCATATGTGGCTGTAGATTCAGTGTGCTTGTGGGAGGAGGTGAGTTCAGGATCCTCTTATGTTGCCATCTTCAAAGCTGTTTATTTTTTTAAAAGCTGGTGATAAACTCCTTCTCATTTCAGGTCATTTTGAGAAAAAATCAAGGTCACGTGTCTTCTAAACACTTAGCTTGCATAACAGCAACAGTCCCCCCCCAACCCCCACAAAAGATATATCTTTTGAAAAAGGGGAAACCAATAAATCAGACTTCTTGGCTTAAAAACAATCGCAATACAAAATGTGGGAAGACAAGTTTAATCATAGATGGAACACTGAAGCAAAGCTTCTAAGTACTGTAACCCTGAGAGGAAAAGCAAGATACATCAATGCTCATTTTTGCCAGGTGCTTTTGTTTCCCAAATAGAAAGCCTTTCCTGCTGGGAAGAAGCCACTGAAGTACAAAGAGAAAAACAGAGCAGCCATTGAGTTGGGAAGGAGGGAGGAAGGGGACAAAGGAACAAGGGAAGAAGGAAGGAAGAAGAGAGGGAGGGAGGGAGAAAACTGGGTGTATCGGTTCATTCAGTCAAGGCTGAAGGACAGCTTAATCTAGATCTTCAAATCACTGCAACACTTATTCCAGAAAAGTGTTTTATGTAACTCCAGACTTTGGCGATTTCAATAATGTTTGATCTATCACTCTTTCAGGCATCAATAAATTTACAAAAAAGCTTCGGAGTCCGTATGCAATTGATAACAATGAACTACTTGACTTCCTTTCCAGAGTCCCTTCAGACGTACAAGTGGTACGTAGGTTTCATTATTATTATTACTTTACTCTAGTGTGGCATTGGGTTTGAACTTTTATATCTTTTTAATTTCAAAGGATTTAGAAGAGCCAGGTAAAGTTAATAAAGCTTGTAGCAGATTTTGCCATTCAGGAATTTAGCCCCGTTAGGTTATCGAAGAAGAATTTACAGAGAGGAATGGGGAATGGAGAAAGAACGAGAGATGGTTGCATAAAGAACCTACCAGGGCTGTCAGGGATAGCTTCAGCTGGAGTTTGTGAAGGGAAGTCACCATTACCTGAAAGGAGGAAACAGGAATATTAGATGATGAAAGAAAGTATACCAATGGACAGCTGAGAGATAAACACTTCTTCACATAATTTGCACAAATTAAGTAAGTTTTAAAGATGCACATTTTGGAGATCCATGGGGGTAGGGGGGAAATGACTACTTTTTGAAGACAGGGACCCATCTCAATCCTTTGAAATCCTTTGAGGTTAACGCTTATTAATCATCAACTATTTTCAGAGTAAAACGAGAAATGTTATTATCAAAATTGAAGGCTAGGTGTGGCAATGCCTTTTTCCTTTGTTTCAGTTGAGTTTTTGATTTGGTATCAGACACGAGAGTGGGCTGGATGGAGATTAAGCCTATATTAAACAAACAATAAATTGCAAAGAACCATTATCCAGCCCTTCAGAATAGATGGAGATGGTTTTGCTTTTGATGTAATGTGTTATGGACAGTGAAGACCCCAGCCTGTTACCAAGGTTCACATCAGGGCTCTCATGTAGTTTCTGGCAGGACTTCCCTTCTGACTCTTGCTCTATCATTCTATTATTTTCTGCATCCCAGCTGCAGATCTCATACAGCTTCCAGAGTGAGCACATTTTTTACCCCCAAGCACAGTCTCTCATTCCTTTGCTTTTCCTTCCTTTGCCAGAAAGTGGCCATCTGACCAGTCTTTCTCTGAACTCTGTTTAAACAGGTGCAATACCAAGAACTGAAACCAGATCCTTCTCATAGCCCATGTAAAAGGAAGAAAAACAATCTTGGCTAGCCAGCTCCCAGCACTGAGGAGACCAGCATCTTTTTGGGAAGATAAAAGAAAAAGCCTTCAGCCTCAGCAGCTTTTCCTTTCTTTCTGCTTTTCATTTATTTTGCCTTTTTATCATGATCGAGAGAATTAGTAAATAGTGTACAAAGGCATATGTCTTTGAAATTATACTTCCATTGTACAGAATCAATTTGATAAAGGTTTAGCTACTGCTGTGTGAACGCCTTGTTAGCTGTGGATAATAACACACCACACTGGAACAACAAATGAAAGAATGGTAACATTGGGAGATATATACACTTCTCTAATTCCAAGTGGAAGAACCAGAATATTAGATTAAATGCTCAGCTGTGCTCTGATTGAATCTACATAAAATGTAAATGTCAATTTGATTTAAAAATTTTTTTTTTAATATGACTATTTTTTATCTGAAAAGTAATCCATTACAGTTTTCTATGTTTTATACATTTCAAAAGGGAGGGGGGTATCCCCAAACCTGAGTTACGGAACAGATGCATTTCAATTTAACGTAGATTCTGACTTCCGATCCTGACGTTCTTCCCTGTGCAAATTATTCAGATATGACTAGGCTGATTTTAAGCTAATGAATGAAGATACATTCACCCCCTCAAGAGAATCTTCCACACTCTGAAATCCTACAATGAAAACTTCCAAACCTTCAATCATTCCATCTAAAACCTTAAAAAACTACAGGACTACACATAAATACTGCCAGGTTTATAAATGATTGCCTATCATCATCTGAATTTTTATACCTACCACTACTTTAATTTGTACTGAGTTAGGAAATTAGCAATGCAGTTCAGTTGTCAAAAATACTAGCAAACTAAATTGGAATTGCTTTCGGTGTCAGATTCTGCCTCCATGCATCTAAAAATATTGAATACTCAAGTGTTCTCACAGAAAAAAAAGTATCTGCTTTCTCATTAGGTTACTGAAATGCTTTAATGCATAGTACGATTTTTGTTATTAGTGTGAATTTTAATGTAGAGGAGAATGCAGTGTGCTAAGTGATATGCCGGTGTTTCATTACATTCATTTATAGAAAAAATAATCATTCTTGATAATATGAATGCATGAAAACCTATTTTGTAAAATAAACTGCTTATGGGGAGGGGGGGGTTGCCTTTAAAAATGTTTCACTACTTACCATAGACTCTATACTTAAAAATTGCATTCCCAAGACTTATGGTAGTTTTTGTATCTAACTCCCTGGTATATCAAGGGAGTATACCTCTGGAGAGAGAAATAATTTGGTGAGAATGCCTTACGTCCCTGACTTGGTAGGGGATTAAGCTTGGTTGAAATTGCTGCAGACAATGTTTTGCACTACTTTAATAATAATAGACTGGGATAGAGTGGAGATAGATAGGGTTTATGCTGGGAAAATGTAGAAAAGCCAGAAGAAATAAATATATATTTCACTCTAAAGGAATACTCTTTAAAAATAAATTTAATCTCGTCAGAGCTGGTTTTTAAAGTATTTTTATTTTAAAGCTATGTTGTTAAATACTATTTCTTATGATAGAACTATTTTGATCTGTTTATATACTATGCTTGAAAGAATGTCAATTAAATTCCCTTTCTACAGAAAGGTTTGACCTCAATATGTTCTGGTTAGTGCATCATGTTTATAATGACATGCTTACATCCGCATACCATCACTGTTTGTTGCTAAGACATAATACTCCATGAAGTTGATGTTACTACACAAAGTTTATTGATGGGATAATTAGTTTGAAATAACTTTTGATTATACCTTTGTGAGATTTATGTTCCATGCTGATAGTGTCTACTCAAATGTCTACAAGCCTGATATTCTACAACCTCAGATGTATCTAGTGGATAGTAACCATTAATAGATGACTAATTTCTGTTTGTTGCATTCTTTCAAATTTCAGACGTTCAGTTCAATGGTAATGTTGACTATACATTCATTGCATTAAATACAAAAATAATAATAATCTTTTCTAAGTATAATCAGTACTCTTTTTTTTGGGGGGGGGTGGTTGACAGAGGATTGTGTGCATATTCTTATAAATGACACTTCACTTAAAGAAACCTAGGTTTGATTTGGACAAACAAATCAAACTCTCCCTGAAACCTTGACTGTTGTTATATAAAACTCAATACCTTCAGAGGGGTGAGCATCCAGTGAAGCTGATAGAGGAGTAAGAACTATCTTGGGGCATGAAAGTGATATTCAGAGGAATCTTCATTGCTTTTAGAAACTACTACATGCACAGGCTGAAAACAAGAGGTTGTCTCTCATAGAATTATAACTATTTCTTTCTCCTTCTCATATAGATACAATTTTGCCTTTTGAAAGCTGCTTAACTTGATTTAGTTTTGAGAAATCTGCAATGTAAATTTTTCAAGACACATTAAGAGATTGGCTGTCACTCTAACACCTATTTGGATTGCTAAATACAGTAGTCGTGTAAACTATTAAATATACTCCTCAGTATCTTTTGAAGGTCATTCATATTCCAAACTACTATTATTGCCATTAATTGTGCTAATTCATAAGAAATGCATATTTTAAATCTGTTTTTCATTTATAAAAAGAATATAGTACTTGTTGTTCATTTTGGTACTGTTCTACAGACTCAAATTGATAGATGCTATATGGATTCCAAATTATTTTTGAACCATTCTATGCACTAGGATAATCTGAATTGAGTGATTCTTTACATGACTTTGCTTTGTGATATATTTATTGAGTGCCTCCTACATGACTTGCCCTGTCGTAGGCAATGGTCAAACCAATGATAGTATATTCAATCAAATCTGGAGCTAAAGATTAGTGCTAGTAAAATTTAATTGATATGTTTCTGAAAGTATCTTTTATAGAATTTTATTCCGTATTTAAAAGTGAAGAAAAATTCAGTAGTTAAGCTGTCTCATTCAGGGACCATAGGAACTTTTTTTCCATTTTGATCTCAATAACCAAATGTCTCTAATGCTGCAAGTAGTCTAGTTTTGTATTAACAAGTCTTATTCGAGGCTTTAATTTCAGTTTATACACTTGTTAAATGTACCTAAATATTTATTTTTGAGTTTTATACTCAATATTAAAAACAAACCAAAAAAATATATAAGGCAGTTGATACTCCAGAAATACAAGTCAAGAGCACCACCATTTCTTGCAAAAGCCTCAGATATTATTAAATTAATGCTTATTTAAATGTCAGTGATGTGTGTGTGTACATATGCTTATTCATTTGTTTGATGAGAGTATCTAGAATCAGCCTTTTCTAATTACTCAGTCAAGTATGAATTAAAACCACATAAAAAATAATGTAATGAATACTTAGAATAGTATCATTCCTTTCAATTATAATTCTTTCCCAGGATGACTGGTGTAACACCAATTATGTCACCAACATAAAACATCCTTTTTTTTGGTGAAACTGTTACCTCTCAAGGCTCAGTTTCTACATTTGTACAGTGGCAGTCGTGTCATAAGACTTAGTCCAGCTGAATCTCAGATTTAAGAAATAATGAGGAAAATCTTGCATTATTTAAGAAAGAATACTATGCAAATAAAAACCATTAAAAATCCAAAGTGGTCACATGCTGTAGAAACTAACAACACTGTGAAAAGTTTGCTGGAATTTCATGATTATATCTGTGCTTTTCCAAGGAGATCTGGGTTAAGAACCAAAAAAAGTGAAACAATCGAATATGTAATTGGTCTCAAATGAGTTTCAGTTTATTGGGCTCTTCCTTCCTGTACATTCTAAACTAACAACAAAAAACTGTTCTATCACACGCACAAGCAGTATTTTTGTAGACAGGTTTTTAATTTAGATGATGGTTGTGTCTCCAAATGTCACTGAAAAATTATGACTCCATTTAAAAAAAAGGTAAGCAAATGCACTGTTCCGCTCTAGTCAAGTAAGTGTTACTGTATTAAGGAAACAGGAATAGTTAGGAAGAAGCTAGCCGAAGCATTTTCAGTTTGTAGCAAATATAAAATTGCAACATAATTCTCCCCTGCTATAGAGTTCTGCAGTGTTCCTTCAAAAGAGACAAGGAGTGACCAACCTGCGAGTCAATGAGTGAACCTGCAAACCACCTCTGATTTTCTCAGGAGGAATACATCTGAGATGCTGAGACCTGGCTGAGCAGGGCTGTTGCTGCTACCAGTGCGGCAAGATGGTAACAGACTCAGTGTCACTTTCTGGTCAGACAAGCTTCAAAATGGCACGAGTCAACTTGAGGCATTTTATTTTGCTAGAGTCCAATGGTAGCAAGTTTAGGCGAAATGCTAGCTGCATAGAGAAACGTGTACACCTGGCTGCAACTACTCTTAATTGTCTCTTGATTACTGGAGACACACCTGAGACAACAGTCCAGCGTAATAACTCGGACAGCTGGACCATAGAAGACAGGTGAGGGGAAGGAAATGCCAATGTTTGTCCCATGTTCAGAGATCTTCTTTTACTAAAGCCATTCAGAAAACTGGAAACCTTATAAGTAAACTCTACATCATTCCCACAAAACATTCTTCCTTTATACAGTAGTGATTATGACAGTTACAAGTCAAAATCTGCATGTAACTTGTAATACTCAAACCATGGAAAACAATTTATTGGTGTCAAGAACTAATAAACTCTTCAAAAAAATTTAAGATTAAGTGTCTATTTTCTATTACACAGAGAGGGATAATGTTTATGATTTTGCTGTCTTTGTTGTACAACAGGGAAAGTAGCTAACCCAAGTTCTGACCCTACCTTGTAGAATGGTATACCTACCCCTTACCTTTGGTCCTGGAACTCTTATAAACTTCAGATGCCATTAACACAGAGACCTAGCAAACCACAGGAGGGTCTTTGAAGCACATGGGAACCCACCTGGTAAAGTTAAATACCATGAATGTTTGAGTAACTAGTTTTAAAATAGATCAATGTGGTGTTCCATTATATTTGTTTGAAGTTGCTGAATATTTTTAAATTTCCCTGTTGGATGAAAAAAATGCTTTCTCAGATATGCGAGAAAAACTTTTTGGGGGTATCACGACACATCCGGCAGTCACTTATTTAGCCAAGAGTCAGGCACACTAACTCTTACAGGGTGCGGTACCAGGTACACACCATCCATTCTTGTGGCTATGATGCTAATACAAAGAATGCACATGTACTTGATCTCCTCCCATAACTGTGACAACAACCCTGACAAGCAGGTGAGAAATCTCCCCTAAAAAACACATTGATGTGACACTCTGCAGTGTACTGTAGTTATGATGTAGACAGCCAATGTATTTATATAAAACAATTGTTAAAATATTGTATTTTGAAGTATATTAGTTAAAACAGTACCTTACAAGAAGCCATTTTCCTGGCCTTCATAGAAGAAGT